CCTTTGGAGGAGGAGGAGAAGCTGCCTCCTCCTCCGCCACCGCCGCCGCCCCGGAGGATGGAGAATCCCTGGGTCCGCCTTCGCCCGGCCGGCAATGAGGATGCTGCCGCTGCTTCTGCTCGAGGATGCTGCTCCCCTTTGGATGCGCAGGCGGCCGCAGGAGCATCAGCGTCTCCGCTAGGTGGCTGAGGCTCGCCCTTCGAGGGGGTGACCTCGGTGGGCAGACCAGCCGGGGTGATCCTCCTTGGCTTCTCTCAGCTGGTGAAAGAGGGACCCCGAGGTGCTTGAGATCAGGGATGCTCAAACTGAGGTGCCATCCTGAGGGAGGGGACCCGGAGGAGGAGAGACCTGGAGAAAGTCCAAGGGGAGCGGCAGACTGATCAGATTTTCACTCTAACAGCTTTTAAAATAAGCTTAAAATTAATTTCTGTGCCAGAGATCTTTACTAGAATTAGGATTTGCCAAGAAAAACTACTTGTGCTTCTTTTAAAGCTAATACATATAATTAAGTTTCAGTATTTATTTAACATTTTACTTTGTGTTTTGTTTTGGTGTAAAGGAAACACAGGGAGGTGTGAAGGTTTCTGAAGTCAAAGAAGGGGTGTGATACCAAGAGGTTTGGGAACCCGAGCTCGAGATGCTCTCTTCCGCCTCACAGATGCTACTGGAGGACTTGCTCTTTGAAGTCACTTCAGGAAGGAGTGCAGGGACCCTAGAATTATCTTTGGGGGGGGGCTTAATATTGGCTGGTAGTCATTGTGGTTTTCCCTACCTGAAGGTATTTTTTTACATCTGGTTATTAAATGGGTTAAATATACTGTAGATCAGGGGTGTCCAACCTTTCACCTTCCGTGGACCACATTAGAAGATGGAAATTTGGTTTGGGCCGCACATACATTTGGTTTGGGCCGCATGGGGGGGCAGCCCTAGGCGTCCTCCGCAGCCCCGCTCCAAGCGCGCTTACCGGCAGCTGTGATCTCAGACAGCAGAGGCTGCCAGCTTCAACTCTGGTGGCTTTATGGGGCCGGGAGGGGGTCCACCTATTGACGGGGACGGCGCAGTGCAGTCACACAGCCCCCGTGTCCCCTCCCCTCCCACTCCTTCCTTCCCTCTCTCCCCCTCTCCTGTTGTGACATGCCCCAGCCACATTCTGGCCGCAAGGACCGGCAGTGTAACTTGAAACTTTGGAATTTCTTTAAAAATAAAAAATTGCATTGGGCCGCATTAGGAGCTGACCTGGGCCGCATGTGGCCCTCGGGCCGCGGGTTGGACAAGCCTGCTGTAGATATTTCATATTCTATTTGAAATTATTAAACTCAGTACCGACAGTCATCATCATCATCCTGAGCCATCAAGTCCATTCTGACTTATGATAGGTGACATTTTCAGGGTTTTCTAGGTAGAGGCATGCAGAAGGTATTTACCATTCACGCCTTCTGGGAGCATCCTGGGACTATACAGCTTGTCCAAGGCCACACAGGCTGACTCTACTCACAGGGAGAGGTGAAGTGTATCCCACCAAATATTATTGGACTGCAACTCCCATCAGCCCTAGCCACCAAATGATGGTAAGGAATGCTGGGAGTTGCAATCCAACAACATTTGGAAAACTAAGCTATGCCCACCCCAGCAATAAGATCCGCTAAAACATGCTCCAGCACACTACTTTAGCAGCAAAGTTTGTGGAAATACTGTACAGTATAGATAACAGCATATACAGGAATGCAAACCAAATATTATTTTAAAAATGTGTAATATGTACTGTATATGCAATATGTGTACCTACCAAGCTTGAAGCATACAGCATCTCCTCATGCAAAGTCTGATCTTAGGGTTGGGTAGTCTGGTGGTCTCTTTGGCTAATGGCACCAAAATACTTAGTGGTAAGAGCAAAAATGGATTGTAGAGGAGTAAACATTGCAAAGGATCTCTGCAAGCTAGGAGAAAGGCAAAAGTCAGTGTAAACAAGTGTAAACTAATGCATGACAGGGCAAAAAGATTCTGAACTTTGCATGGGTTCTGATATGGCAGCAGCTGATCAAGAAAGAGATGATGCAACTGTTGTAAATAGCTTTCATCCTAGGGAAGACTTTAGGGTTTGCAGGATGGAGGAGGGGAGTCTTTAATTCCCTCAAATCACTGCCAGAGAGATTAGTACACCACCAAACTGGACCAGCAGAAGCAACTTGCATAACTTGAAAAGGGGATTAAGTCCATGAAAGTCAGGATAGCTGTATATCACTTCCAGTATCAGAGGCAGTATGCCTCTTGCTGAGGAACACACAATGGAGAGTGCCTCAAAAACCTATTACCTTGCTGGACAGCTTTCTGTAGACAACTGGCTGGCAACTGTGTGAACAGAGTACTGGGTTAGATAGGCCCTTGGTCTAATTCAACATGGATGTTCTTATGTCAACGCAAAGGTCAAAGAATCAAGAAAATTCCTGTGAGTTTCTAGAAGACCTGTCAAAACAAAACAGGATGTTCAGTCAGCCAAGTGAACATTTTACCTTACACATAGCACACTATCTGAGAAAACCAATAAAAACATATTAACAGACTTCTAAAGAACATGCATAACAAAGAATGATGTGGCACCTTAAAGATTCACAAGTTTTATTTGGTGCAAGTTGTTATGGATTGTAGTCCCTTTTTTCATGTACATGGAGTGTAACATCAGCAGTCAGATGCATGTATAAATGCCTGTCTGCTGAGGAAGGGCTCCATTCATCAGAGGTAATGGGCTACGATCTATGAAAACATATGCCAAACAAGACTCGTCAATTTTTAAGGGGCCACAGAACTCTCTATGGATCTTTCTGCAACAAACTCATTTGGCTACTCCCTTGAGAATTTCTATGGGGGAACAAACAAATATGCTTAAGACAATATGGGATATGGGTAAGAAGTAATGAATTATTGCTGAAATCATATTCCTTAGCTTAGTAAGTTGCCTCTGGAATAGGCACTCTGTGTACCTTAAAAAGGGACTACTATTTGAGTTGCTGGAACTTGCAGAGAAGTTGACTCACTAAATCAAATCCCCATTGATTCAGTAGGCCTGCTCTGCTGTAACTCACCATGCTATGCAGCAGGATTATTATTAAATTTACCTACAAATTGGAAACTACAGATACAGGAACAAGAGACAGCAAACCCCATTCCCATTAGAAAAAAGAGTATAGTTTACATTGTTCCACTTACAAGTAAATTCTGCTTAAATTCAATCAGAGTTAAGTACATTTAGGATTGCAAACCAAACATATTGAAAAGAAAATACAAAACTTGTATATAATTAACCAAGCTTAAGATACAAAGAATATCTTGATGCAATCCAGCCCAAAGATTGAAGAATCAAGGAAATTTTTGTTCTTGCAGAAGAACTTTCAAACAAAATAGAACTCTGTAAGTTCCTGTTGCAGAAGTCCGAACTGTAGGTTAAATGCTTCTAGCTGTGCAGCAGAAGTGAATCTTCAAGTTGCAGAAGTGAATCTTCAAGTCCCCCAAAGTAGCCCATCTCTTGTTCACATTAACTGGCACTCATAGTCTCAATAACTCACTCTGAAACATTTATAAGAGAAAGAATATAAGGTTTCATTACTTGCAGTGGAAAAAATCAAATGGCAAACTGACAGACATTACTATCTGCTTCAACAACAGACCTCAGCAAACTACACAGAGAGAAGGAGAACACACAGCAGAGAAGTGAGACTCTCTTTGAATTCAGAGGCAGGAGAGAACAATTGATTAATGCTGGATAGATTGACAATCTATCCAGAAAGGTCCCTCCCAGCCAAAACTGCTAAAGGCAGCATGCAAGGTTGCAAAAACTCCAGCAGTTCCCAGCTGAATGAAAAACAAATTACAAACTATGAACAGAGGGGGGAAAGGAAGAAAAATGCATCTATATATTTGGGCTCTCCAGCCAGAATTCTTGGACCTAAAATCTAAGTTGACAGAGGAGGGTTTTTTTTTAATCACTCACATATGAGCCTCAGTAAGCCTCTGGAGCTGCCATTATTTGCTTCTGAAGAAGAAGGAAATGGCTGGGAACGGGGAAGCCTCTTTGGGATTCTTTCATTTTGGCTTTCCAACTTACTTTTTTGACACAGCTGAAGGTAGTCCCAATGATCTAGGAAAACCAAGCCTGAGTGTTTCCTTTTGAAGAGTAGTTTCACTGAGTCACCTATGAACTCACCTTCCCAAGACAGGAGAAGTGATGGGGAGAGTTTACAGCAACCATTTGTGCTCCTGTTTGCTGCAGTGAAGTCCCACTGGAAAAAAAGGTAATGACAATCCTATCAGTATTATAACAGAAATTGAATCATGTGCAATTAAGTAAATTCTGACTTATGATGACCCTTTCCAGGGTTTCCTAGGTATAGCATATTGGGAAGTGGTGTAGCATTCTCTCTTTCTGGGGGCAATTTGGGATTGTGTAGCTTGCAAGGTTCCATAAGGCTGGTTCTTCTTCTGCAATGCACACTGAGGAGTCACTCCTTGTACCTTGTCTCCATAAGTCAGGTGTTCCAGTGCACTGAGCTATCCAGCCAGCTCTTACAAAACATTAATTTTATGTTTACTGGCAGTGAAAGAAATGCAGAAGTCCCACACCTAGTTTCCATGTTCTGCCAAATGCTCTTTAAACCATCAAGATTAGCAGCATAAGAAGAAGAGAGAAGTCGGCAGGTCTGGAAACAAGGCAAGAGAGATGGCTAGAAGAGTCACCTTTTAAAAAGAGTAGCCCAACAGCAAACCAGCTTAGGGCTCATTTGTCTCTGAAAAGAAAATACTTCCAGAACCATCAGAAAACTGCAGAAAACCCTTTAAAACTCTAGAGGGCACTCCCTTCTCATAAATAAGGCAAAATGGGTTGGGTTACTTGAAAGGAAAGCATTACTTTTAAAGAGTAATCGAAAATAAAGGTGAGATTTTTGTGGACTCCATGTTGAGCCAGGCTTCCTGTTCATCTTCTCCATAAGAGGACCCTAACTTTGGGGAAATCATAATTAGGAGGATATTCCAGGCTGTTGTTGGAGGGTCAATAATTAATGAGACAATCTAAAAGAATCTAAGATTATATCCACCACTGATAATATAATGGCCAGATAGTAATGTCATCTGGTTTATGCAGCATAAATTTACACCAACCAGATTTTGTCCAAAAAGTGTGTGGTGACTCTGTTTTCTGCCAGTTCAGTAGTCTGGGTATCTAAGATGAAGGCTCAAATGTTTTGTTTCTAGTTCTGAATAGCTGAATGTCCTGTTTTGGGAGAAATCTAACACTGATTGTCTGTAGTGTGCCTCTTCTATTACCTCCCAAGAAAGCAAGGAAACAAGCTTCCCTCTGACACACACACACCCTTTTTCTTTAACATCTTGACTGATGAAGAAATACTGATCACAAAAGCCTGGACATTTCTTTGTGCTTCTTTTAGTTGCACTAGCAAAACTATTGCTACAGTTTGGATTTTGGAATGTGTGTTATGCATGCAAGCCTAACTCTGCTTTTGTTGATCATACCTTAGATTTTTCTTTAGGGACTCTCTCAGTTTTCATCATAAAGCCGTTCAGCTCTAATATTAAAGTTTTTCATCAAGTTAATAAATGTTGCCTTCTGTTGAATTGACCTTGTCCTTTAATTTTCTAAAGATATAATGATAAAACTATTGATGAAGGAGAGGTGATGCCAAGCTATTAAGTCAATGATACAGGACTTCCATCAAATTGCACAGTATCTATGCACAAATAAAACCACAGTGCTAGAACAAATGTGTTTACAGCACCAGCATCTTTTTCATGCCCTGTGAAAATGTCCATTAGCACAAATATATTGACAGGGTATTATATAAAGGCAGAGCAATTTCAAACTCCTACACACAAAGGTCAGTGTATGCCATCAGACTGCTTCACTTGTGTACATGGTGCCATTGTGCAAACAGAGATCTTCATGAAGAAAACCCATCTTGTATTTGTGTAGTGGCACCATGCTTGTGCAAATAGCACAATCCCATGTTACGATGTTGTATTTATTTATTTTATTTATTTATTTTATTTGTATCCCGCCTATCTAGTCACTTAAGACCACTCTAGGCGGCTTACAACAAGCGTAATACAATATAATTAAAACAATTTTAAATAAGGGGAGAAACTTTGGACAAGATGGGACAAACACTAGGAGAGAGGAAAAAAGAGGGAAGATCAGGAATTGGCTGAGGGGAAGGCCTGCCGAAACATCAGTGTTTTTAATTGACTTTCTACTCAACAGAAGCTATGTATGATACTACTTGGAGATCCTGAATTAGTCTCTTTGCTCATAGGGCAACAGTGACTTTTTGCAAGTATGTGGTGATGTGATGCATCATTCCCAGGTGTCACATGTATTCGGGATGTGCTGCTGAGACTTCTGAATAGTGGTGCCCTGCATAGCGAGGATAATCCATTCCAGATAAATCGTCACTATCTGGAAATGTCGCTATACGGGGCAAAAAACCCCATAGGAACACATTAAACTCAGTTTAATGCGTTCCTATGGGGGATAAACTCACTGCTAAGCGGGAATCCTCCATAGGGCCGCCATTTTCACCACCTCGGTAAGCAAGGAATCAGCGCGAAAACACTGTGAGCGGCCATTTTCTTGATCCAGCGGCCATTTTGGAACCGCCAATCAGCTGTTCTAAAACATCGCAATGCGAAGATCAGTAAGCAAAACGCTTACCGATCATCGCAATGCGATCGCAAAAAACACATCGCTATGCGGATTCATCGTTAAACGGTGCACTCATTAAGTGAGGCACCATTGTAAATGGAAAGCGATGGTGACCATTAATTGAGGGTTTGGGGACTATCATGTCAGTGAGTCATCCCTTTTGCTGGCCTACCCACAGTAATGAAAGAAGGTACAAAGGAAAAAGAAACAACCAACCCACAATGAGTATTTGGATAGGCAGAAAAGGGTTAGACAAATGTGTTCAAAATTTAAACAAGCAACCTCTAAAATAACATAAAAACTAACAATCAGCTGGGATTTATGAAACACAGCAATATTCAGAAATGTTGCAAGTTCTTTAACAACATAAAAAGGTGTTACATAAACAAAATTCTGAATGCTCTGATGAAAATAGCACTGAAAGAAAATACATGAGATATTGTGTAGACCTCTAGCAAATTTAGAGACAGCATCTGGCTTCATGTAAAAATTGTATAAATTTACCCTTCAGACAGGAGGGCCTGGCGTGCTCTAGTCTATGGGGTCATGAAGAGTCAGACACAACTAAATGACTAAACAACAACACCCCTTCAAAATGTTTGGAGGCAAACAGTTAAAGAGAAGTAGGGAAATAACACCTCTGTATTTAGGAACAGTAAATAATTCTACAATAGGCATATAGGTATCAGGAACAGATTGGGAAAGGTCTGACAAGTTCACAGGCAGAATTTTTGGTTCCTGCAAATCTGTATCTTTTGAGATCAAACTGGTTGAGCTCATATTTAGAAGTGGAAAGCACTGGAAAGGCACAAAAATATAAGTGAATGAATGACTCAAGTGGTTCCATAAGGCAACATACAATGAAACTACTACAAATGGAGCAGAATGATTCCTTGTCTCCTTTACAGCTCTCCATGAACTCCAGGCCCCTCATGTAAACTCCAGCTCCAGTTTTGGAGAGCTCCCAAGAACAGGGGAGGGGGGGGAGAACATTGTTGGGTTCAATTTAGGTCATAGCTGAGCAAATTGGGTACCTGACTCTGGAACCAGACTTTGGGGGCTTGATTTCACACTGTGCCTCCTGTAATGCAGGACCTGAAATGAAATTCATTTTGAATGGGTGGCAGGCTTCCCACAAGTCTTAGCATCAGTTGTGGCCCCCACAAACTCTGTCAATATCATGTGTGCTCTAAGTGAGGCAGCAGAGAATATGGGCCTTACTAGGAATGGTGGCAATCGCTGCAGTGCTAATATACTATTTTGCCTCCTGGCCTGCCATTATTAGTTTTACCCATATTCTGGGCCTATTAAATCTGATGTTTTCACAATTTGTTTCCATAAGGAGCTAATGCAGAAGCTATCCCTGCTTTGTATGGCCTTCCACACAACCCATGTCTTCTATGCTTTCATGAGGATTGCAGCCCCTTCTCCGAGTCTGGCACTGAAATTTCAGGGAATTGTCTGCTGGTGATCTAGCAATCCTAATCTCGCCACACACTCTCTTGTTAAAAATGCTGGGAAACTAGACAAAACTGATTTGAATTTCTACTCTAGCAGGCCCAAATTAGAATATATTTCAACAATGTTGCCTCCTGGCCTGCCTACCTGTTATGAAATACTCGTACCTGTTATGATATACTCATTAACATGCACTGCCTTCCACCATCAATAATCTGGCAATACCAACATCAACATGGAGAACCATTTTGCATAATATGACACCATGGTTCAGCAATATATCCCAGCTTGACTGTAAAAGTTTTTAAAGAACCATTTAACTTACTGAACAAGACCATTAGCATTTCATTAACTGCTGAGGATTAATGGCTTCTAAGTTCCTCCAGTAAGATGTCAATAGGTATGTATTTGTGGAAGTATTTGCTCTTACACACAGGGTACACTATTAGATTAGTTATAAAATGTCATATTTATCCTATATTGGCAGAAAGGTAGTTGCTATAAAATTACCGGCATGAACGTTGTGCCAGAAAAGAGTCCTTACACAAATGCTTATATTCTCCATGTGATATAATGATGCTTCTATTGCACTGTCCATCTGATGAAATAATATCTTGAGATGACATTGATATTCTTTACCACATTGCTCAAGTGTCTGTATTCAATAAATTGTCCTTTTGGCAGTTGCACAAAAGTACCCGGGGCTATGTATAATGTTAGGCCAAACCACACTTTGCTTTCCCAGAAATTGCACTGCTGAGATCTTTCCCAAAATTATGGAAGAAGAACAAAGATGGATGCCCAGAAATGTCATTTACGAAAGCTTTGTAGTATTCATATATGTGAAGGCCTCTTCACAGTCCTTGTCCAACAAGGGAACCCTACAAGTGCTTAGAAAATTTATGGCTTTGGAGTAAAACTCCCAAAACGTCTTATCCAGCATGGCTACTAAACTTTCCCTGGTTCTGATTGCATCATGGTATAAATGGAGTCATCTCCATGAAATACATAAACGTGTGTGTGAAAAAGAGAGAGGGACACACAACAGAGATGTCACTTGGGCAAAACAGTGACTTATTTTTAAGGTTTCACATTCTAAGCAAGTTGAAATAGAATTAT